CAGGGCACCTTTCCCTCAGGGAAGGGAAAGATGTCAGCGAAGGGAAAGATGTCAGGGAAGGGAAAGATGTCAGGGAAAGATGTCCGCCCACGGGTTGTGAGGTGGGACTTTATATATGGGGGCTTTAAGGTGTGGAAGGGGGAATGTTTGGGGGAGAAATCAGGGAGGGAGAAGCAGGAAAAGCCTGGCTCCGTTCAGTCTGCCAGTTGATATTAGGGTGTGGAAGTGTTTACTTTTTCCCCTCTTAAGATGAGAGAAAACCAGCTTCTAAAATCTCTGGTTATCAGGTAGAATCTGGTTATCTTTGGAGGTCAGAGGAAAGGCAGGCTGCTTCTCAGCAGAGTTTGTTTCCCTTGACTCCAAAGGTCAAGGTAAGGTCCCTGTTGGGGAGGGGGGAAACTGCTGCTGTTTAGAACCCTAACAGTTTCTAAGATGTTTATACATTGCCTCCCATACCAAAGCCCTAGCCAACCAGACTAGACTAGGTACACATTTAATAACATCACAATAACCACACAGGCCTTACATTGAGGAAACAGGAGCAAATGATTTTACAGACACCTAATAAAATCCTATTTTTAAAAACTAAAAGTAAAAAAGTACTGTAATTCAGTGATCACAGGTAAAGGATACGTATCCCATTCATGCCTGAAATTTTGAAGTCATCAATGAGCTGGACCACCATGTCTTTGTTCGGGTCGCTTGGGTCACTTTCTCGAACCTACACCAAGAGAAACAAACAGAGAACAAAGGACTTTACCTTTTGATTTTCCTTTTTTATTTTCTAAGACAGAGTCTTGATATTAGTCCACGCTGGCCTAAAACTTACAGCAAACCTTCTGTTTCAGCCTCTTATGTACTGAGATTATAGGTATGTACATCATGTCTGATCAGGATGGTGAAAGTTTTCCATTATACCAATCAATAAAGTGATTTTATTAAAATCAAAAGATTTAGCATTTAAAGTTATGAAAATTCTACTTTAATTTAGCATCATCCAGAATAATTTTTGAGCAAAACTGGCCATTTACTTTTCTAGTATATTCACATTTTCTCAGTACTTACACATTTAAGTAATTTTATTTCATCCAAGGCTGTCTCTGTATAGTGCTGGGCACTTTTTACAACTTTCATTGCAACAAATCTTTTCCCCCTTTAGAAAAGAAAAAAGCATAATTATTTATATTGTCAGCAGAAATTATTATTATAGTGAAATGTAGCAAATACATAGAAACTCTTAATAACCTTTTCTTTTAAACAGTATTTTTCGGGAAAGTGAGATATCTTAGTGGGTAAAGGCACTTGCATGCAAGATAGATAACCTGAATTTGATCCCTGGAATTCACGATAAAGTCAAGGACAGAAGGTTGCCCTCAGGGTATGGCATGCTAACACCCCTTTCTTCCCCCTCCCACACATCATACACACACACACACACAGTGATTTTTCTTTTTTGGGGGGGTCTTTTTGAAGCAGGGTCTCCCTGTAGCCCCAGCTGTTCTGGAACTCACTATGTAGAACAGGCTGGCCTTGAACTCAGAGATCTGCCTGCCTCTGCCTCCCAAGTGCTGGGACTACAGGCGTGCACCACCACACCCAGCTAATTTTTCTAATTAAAAAAAAATAGTTTTTCAAATCTGGGGGACATGGATAGTAGGCCCAAGGGTTAAAATAATCTCTTCCAATGCTTTATTGCTTATTTATCTAAATAAAATAGACAATAAAGTATCAGTTACCATACATTTCAGGGAAAAGTGTACTCCTGTACACACAAAACTATACATGGATATATAAACTGAGTAACAATAAACTTTATTTCTAAGGGTCAATGAAGCTTTTAAGTAATGTCACAAAATACTGATTTGAAAGAGCTATACATTTTCAATGTTATATTTCATTTTTATTTGATAAGGATGCATAATAATAATTAAAGTAACAAGGCCATGATGAAAAGCATTTTAAAGAAGTAAGCTATAGAGAAAAAAAAGTTAGAAGTTAACATTTTTAAAAATGTAAGCAAAGGCATATACAACTGGAGGGGAGAGAAAATCTAGCTAGCTCCAGCTGGCTTGTAGTATGTAGCACCTCACATGCTACAACTAAGTAGGATGACCACTGGTCACGTCTTCTTAAAATACAGATGTGGTGCGAGACCAAAACTCAAGTTCACATAATGACAAAGAATACTTACTGCATATCCCAGCACAGCCAGACAGTAGAAAAGTGCCCCCATCCTAGCTTTCTAATGACATGATACCGACCATTGAAGAGATCTCCAATTTTCACTGGATGATAGCCACCTAAAAAAAGAAAATTAAAAATCTCAGGAAAACAGTAAAAGACCTCATCACTTACTTTGTCTTTTTTTTTAAAGACAGAATCGTGTTATGTAGCCCTGGTTCACTTGAACTCACATAGATCCACCTGCCTCTCCCTTTGCCTCTGCTACCCGAGTGCTAAATTAAAACATGTGCTACTACCCGGCCTTTTCTTAATTCTTAATGTCATTGTAACAAAGATGAGAAAACTGAATCAGATTAAAATGCTTAACGTGTAACATTTCAAGATCGCCCATTTATAAGAAGAAAAATATCCTATGAATCTATGAATTCTCATTAGGCTTTTTTTCTTATTTTAATAGAGTTTGAAAGGCAACAAACCATTTGGCACTCTATAACAATTTGAGAATTTATATTTAAGTTAAAATATGTTCACGTACATCAAATCTTTTTTTAAAGATTTATTTTTATAGCCAGGTGTGGTGGCACACACCTTTAAACCCAGCACTCCGGAGGCAGAGGCAGAGGCAGAGGCAGAGAGAGGCCAGAGGCAGAGGCAGAGGCAGAGGCAGAGGAAGAGGCAGAAGAAGAGGAAGAGGAAGAGGAAGAGGAAGAGGAAGAGGCAGAGGCAGAGGCAGAGGCAGGCAATCTCTATGAGTTCAAGGCCAGCCTGGTCTACATAGTGAATTCCAGGCCAGCTGGGGCTACAGGAAGCTCCTGTCTTAAAAAGACCCCACCCAAAAAAAGATTTATTTTTATTTATGTGTTTGTACATCTATGTGGGGGCTGCCTGTGGAGGACAAAAGAGGTTGTTGGATGCCCTAGAGCTGGAGATACAGGCAGCTCTGAGCTGCCTGACATGGAGGCTGGGAAAGAACTCTGGTCTCTGGAATAACAACAAATGCTCTTAAATTGCTGAGCCATCTCTCCAGTTCTAAGGTTCTTAATGTCTTGTCACTACTACACTTGCTTTTCCTGAATGTTAACCTCATAGAGATATAATATACAGTAAATTAGGGAAAAAAATACAGCAAAGTATCAAGTAACCCACTGCTTAATTTTAGTTTATTCCTTAAGAAAAATAGGCTCTGGGTTCCCAGCACAGATTTTAAACCATTAAATTAATACTGAAAAGAAGGAAAGGCTAACGTTTGTCAAGTATAAATTAGAAAGACTAGACATTTTATTTTCAAAATTTATGCTCCAAGAAAAAAAACGGAACTATATAATACACTAGAGGTGCTCCACATAGAAGAGGGGATGAGAAAATAAAGCAAAGCACATTTTTTGATCATAGGCCTAGTGTCTTAACACACTGTGTTTAAGCTCTAAGAGTACTCAAAGAGTACGGTCAGTTCAATAAATATCTGCTCAGGAAAGTTCTTCAGGGACCTAGTCACAATTTATAGCATAGATATTTAGGAAACACAAATGTCTATAACCAAGTTGAAAGGTAAATGGCATTTTTTTTACACTGCTACAGAAAGCACCACCAAACAGAACTACTAAGTACAAGGGTCAAGACTGAGAGCAGACTCCAAAGCCAAAGCTCTGCCCACCAGTAAGAAATGCACTCTACTATGTAAAACTCACCATCGTTGAGGCACATTAGATGGTTTAATTAAAAGGTCTATGCTACTTAAGTGCATATTATTGATAACATTAGTATCTCCAGATTTAAAAATAATTATGCTGAAGAAATCTCTACTACTAGGACATGTTTTAGATTCTAATTCTCAAATAGCCAGAGTATGTCTTGTAAGCAAAACCAGAAGGGGGTCATCTCCATTGTAAAGCAGTATCTGTTCTCTATAGACTCTGAAAGTTGAACAAGGATAAATTGCTGGTTAAGTCCAGAATCTCTAGAGTACACTGGCAGCTAAAATACTGTGTCTAAAAACAGGCCAACACAAGAAGAACAGAGAAGTAATTTTTAAGAACAAATTTAAAAAGTGAATGGCACCCAGGGAATTAAGAGAAGATGGACAGTCCAGTGACTCCACTAGAAACTTCCCCAGTCCCTTGAATGCTGTAATGGCTACTAGTAGATATACTTGGCCAAACACCTTGTCTCCAAGGAATGTTGAAAACAGTTGCAGACTAGACAAAGACCTCCAGCCTCCCTTGGGTTCCTTTTTGCTGCTTCATTCAAAGGCAAAAGAATGAATGCAAGGTAACAGTGCTACAGTCCTGTTCTGCTAACAGCATGAGGCAAAGTAACAGAAAGGCCACCACACATTTATCATTTAGATTTTCTTCTCTTACTGCTTTCTCAGCCTTTAGACTAAGATCCAATGTGGAAGTTTTTCTTTTCTTCTTAAAACAAAAACAAATTTCAGATTGAATTACAAACACAAAGGGAACAAGAATTAACTGTTAATTGTTCATTTCCAATCAAAAGTTCAGAATTCTGTGACAGAAAATAGTCCGGATTTTTAGCAAAGCTCCTTTATTTCCTACTTAAAATTATATTAACTATTATCATTTTTATGCTGACAATTTCTCTGCTCAATAATTATGGATTTTCTTTGCATAACTACTGTAAGCTTTAAAGAGACTATGGAAAGACTTAAGAGTCATCCCTAATACATAACTATTAAGAAAGAAAGGCCTGCCGGGCATGGTGGTGCACACCTTTAATCCCAGAACTTGGGAGGCAGAGGCAGGTGGATCTTTGTGGTTCAAGGCCAGCCTGGTCTACATAGTGAGTTCCAGGACAGCTGGGGCTACAGGGAGATCCTGTCTCAAAAAGACCAAAAGAGAAAGAAAGGCCTGGCAAAAAAACTCATTCAGAGTAAGATAACAAGCACATTCTGTGCTACTGAAGTGTTTAAAAAGTTGAAAGCTAAGTAAAAAAGCCTTCAAACTAATGCATGGTCTAAAGAAGAAATCACAAAGAAGTCAAACATGGTGGTATGTCTGCAATCCTAGCACTTGGAAGGCACAGACAGAAGGATCACTTAGACTTCCAGACTATCCAAGCCTACAGAGGGATATCATCTAAACCCACAAACCACAAACAAAACTAGATGTAGGGATTCACACCCACAATCCCAGCATTCAAGAGGCTGAGGTAGGAGGTACTCAGTAAATTCACAGCCAACTTGGGCACATATTGAATTACAGGCCAGCCTGGATTACAGCATAAGACCCTGTATCAAAAACAAAAATTATTCACAAGAAGATGAAAATAAAAAGCTCAACACATCTATTGCAATACTTAGAAAGCATTAAATGCCTGTATCAGAAGATTTAAATGTCTCTTCCTCAAGAAACTAGAAAAAGCAGCAAAAATTAACCTAAAGTAATCCAAAGAAAATAAACAATGAAAGATAGGAGGTACAACCAGTGAAATAAAAAAATAATGCCGGGCGTGGTGGTGCATGCCTTTAGTCCCAGCACTCGGAAGGCAGAGGCAGGCCGATCTTTTTGAGTTCGAGCGAGGCCAGCCTGGTTGACACAGTGAGTTCCAGGATAGCTGGGGCTACAGGGAGACCCTGTCTCAAAAAGACAAAATAATAATAATAATAATAATAATAATAATAGCAAAAAAAAATCACTGAAACAAAAAAAATTTCTGAACAGGCTAATAATAAGAAAAAACAAAAAAACCACACAGATACGCATAAAAACCACAAGCTATCAGCACGAAGAATGACAGAGCTGACCTCGCCAAGTAGTTTACTGGTGCTGAAAGGATAACAAGGGAATATAAAAACATACATGAAATGAATGGATACCTTTAAAAGACACAAACCACCAAAATTTCTACAAAAAGAAAAATAAACCCGAATAATCCTTTATTTGTTTTTTAAATTGAATTTATTAAAAACTACAGGCCAATCCTATGAGTGTAAGCAATGTGGGAAAGCTGGTAGGTCTTCTAGTATACTGAAACCCCACAAAAGTACATACACATGGAAGAAACCTTAGCTATGTAAACAAGCTGGAAAAGCTTTCTCTATTCCTAGTTATTTGAAAAGACATACAATAATTCATAATGGGGAGAATCCCTACTCATACAAACAATGTGGGAATGTCTTTTGTAGTCCTAGTTCCTTGAAAAAAACATGAAAAATCAATGATGGAGAAAAACTGTTCTTATGTAATGAATATGGAAATACTTTTAATGCTAAGAGTTCCCACCAAATACATGAAAAATGACACACTGGAGAAAAGCCCTATGTAAGCAATGTGGTAAAGTCATTCACAGTACTAAATTGTAAAGATGCCATGAGAAAGCTCATACTAGGCAAACCTTATAAATGTTACATAATGTACCTTTTCTTCCGGTGCCCCCTAATGCATGAAAGGCACACTAGAGAGAAACCCTGGTTCAGTACTCAGTGTAGGAAAACCTTCAGTTATAGCTTCTTTTCACTGACATAGAACTCACTGAAAAGTAATTTTAAATACAGTATTTGTGGTTTTGTTTGTTTGCTTATTTATTTATTTTTGACTTTTTGAGACAGTGTCTCCCTATAGCACCAGCTGGCATGGAACTCACAATGTAACCAGGCTGCCCTTGAATTCAGAGATCTGCCTGCCTCTGCCTCTGCCTCTCAAGTGCTGGGATCAAGGGGACGTGCCACTACACCTGGCTTAAATAAAGTATTTGTGTAGGCTTCATCATTCATTCATTCATAAGAATGTGTATAGAGAGAACACGTGAGAATAAATCTTAATTTGGCTTCTTGTTTTGTAGCATGTTTTGAGGATATTGTGAATGGGGTTTTTTAATGATTTTTTTTCTTCAACATTTTCATTATTAATATAAAAATACCTATCATACCTATTGAGAGCTGAAGAGAGTTAATCTCAGCACTTGGGAGGCAGAGGCAGGAGGATCTTCTGTGAGATTGAGGCCAGTCGGGTCTACATCCTGAGTTCCAGGCCAGCTGGGGATTCAGAGACCCTGTCTCTAAGGTTCAAAAAAAAAAAAAAAAGAAGTGAAAGAAAATGGTGATGTGGATGAGCTGATTATATGAAGCAATGGGTTTGACCCTAAGGACTGCATAAAG